ATCTGCTCGCGAATGTCCTTACTCGTGTTCACTAAACATATTGTTAGCGAAATTCCACGTATTGCCAGCACAGGAACTTATCCAAACTCAAAATTGCTTTTCCATTGAATGCATAGCGCTTTCTTATCATGATGAAATTGGAAAATCACAAATCGGGCCATAAAGGCTGTCTGTACTGTTTCGTATTTATAGTTTATACTGTTTTGTATATAAAATAGCATTCAAAGAGATCTTTTACATAGAGGGATAGACACATTAAAGTTATGATGATGCTGAAAAAAGAGAAATAGTGTCTAGCGAAAATCTTCAAGTAATCCTGGAAAATGGAATGTATTTTAGATTACCTAAATGTGAACCTGTTCATGTCGAAAGGAATAATGTTTTTATTTGTTACAGCTTGCAAAGGTTAAAAATATAAATGGAATCGGATTTTGGGAAATATTTGGAAGACCTTTCGAGTAGAAAATTTAGGATTTATTTATTAATAGCCTGCGCGGATAGATCCGGTTCTGGAAAAGCAGTTTCAGGAAGGATAGTCAGCTAGCAGTTTTGAATTTGGTGATTCAGTCAGTGTAAATAAGCCCACCAGCGGCCGATCGGTAAAGTCGCTGAACACTGGTAGTTCGGTCCGAGGTTCGAATCCCGCGAACGGGCTGGCTGCATGGGCGTTTTCGTGGTTTTCCCCATGTGTAACGTGTATACGAGCCAGTTTCCCTTAGAAAGTCCTCCACGAAGGCATCCCTCCTCTTAGGCAGATAGCGCTCGAGGCTTTGCCATAATCACACACACACACAGTGTAAATAATGATTCTATTGCACAGATGGCTTTGAATGATTCACTGTAGTCACTGATATTATTGAGATACAAAAGGAAGACAGTTTTCCATAGTCAATAAAAGGCTTGATGTAGTATGCGTATGTGGGACGTTTTAAGTACAGAAATTTGACAATTCCAAGGCTAATTTTGCATATTACGGACCGTTTTATTTCCCCGTGTAATACGTTCAGTAGAATAAAAAAGAACTTTTTATGTAGTCCCATAAAAATTTTTAATTTCTATGTTTTTACCAAAACAGTTATCATGCATTACCAGTTTATTTAGGTGTACCCTTATATCAGTTTATTTAAATGCTTTTTTTTTTTTTTTTCTTTATTACAGATAACCTCAAAATTTTGCTTAGTATGAAACGTATTTTTAAAAAGTTAGATTAATTTAGTTGCATGTACGACTAGCAGGGGACGCAATGTGTTCGGCAAATATTTAGAGTGTAAGCAGTTATGTATTGCATATAATCTGCTGCCACCCCAGTCTTTCCTCCTCTACTTCACAAATTACTGTTTAGCCACAGAAAGTTTTCCCTGTTGTAAAAGTAGTCTGAGCAAATGTGATTACGTTATGTCAATTCCCTCTTCACGCAAGGAATTTGCGGCTTAAGCTGTCTAGCCTTTTCATTTAGAGAAACAAAAACTAATTTCATTGTTTTATTTGATCGAAGACAGTGCATTTTATTTCATGGAAATGAACATATTTATAAATATATAGCTATTGTATTTTGGAATAAAATCCAATAAAATTGTTGGCTTGTCGAAAATTCATCCGAGTGCCTTACAGTAAATAATATTTGGCCTCACAAATAATAAATAAAATTAACTATTAGATTATTTTCCGCCGAATATGATTAAAAACCTATTTTGTTTCGTAACACGTTTAGAAAATAAAAATTGTTTGGGTAATGAAATAAGGAAAGAATTAGCTCAAAAAAAAAATCATTTTATTTTGAAAATACATTCCTTGGGCTGTCGTTTAATGATGTTTTCTTGGTGGTAACGGGTACCTGGAGCTCTCCATATGAAAGTCCGGCGAGAATCAGACTGCAAGCTAATCCTGGACTCGTCGAAAAATATCACACAAGCCCACTGTTGCGGTGTCCACAATGCATGCATGCTCTCTACTCCAGGCTAACTGCAGGCGACAGTGAGTTGCAGTAAGTGGAACGCATCTGACAGGTCTAGGAGCATATAGACCAATCTGCCCTAAGTGTCTGTACACGGTCTGCCTTGAAATTGTCGTACCAGTGCCTGAAGAGGGCTGACGAGACAGGTCTGAGGCTGTGCTCCGCCTGTTTCTTTTGGCAGTAACTGCCAAATACCGGTCCTCATTCGGCGTTGTAACTCTGGGGTGACCAGTGCTGTAACATCTACTCACATTACCATCATCTTGGAACCGTTGCCAAAGCCTGGAGACACTCTAGGCAATTGCAAGTTCGTCTGATGCTTCCAGTTGGGTACGCCCACATTCCAGACGGCCGATAATTCTACCACGTAAAAAATCATCCAAATGTGCTCTTTGTATCATAACTATTCGGTTATTGCACTGAAATGCTTATAAAGCGTCTGCGAACAATTTTACTTCTTTGGCTGTATTTTTTATATATTACTCTCTTACACTCTCGTCATTGTGATGTAACATCGGTGTCATCTGGTTACTTCCTGAAATTTGCATATGATTCTTGAAAATGTGTGTAGTGATTTTACAGGTGATATATTTATTTTAGAGTTCGATTTCCGCGTGACTCCGAATTATCCTTAATTTATGGACATGAGTGTAATTGATTTGTAACTTCTACTAGAACTGATGTTAAGAATTAAAGTGCAAATAAATAATATCGTGTGCAAATATTGATTAATATAAATTAAAAATATTTGCATTCAGACAAAGTTTTTTTAAATATTTGCAATTACTTTATAAAAAGGATTTATTAATAACCGTAATAATTACTTATTATATTACTGATGATTACTGATTATATTACTTATTATATTACTGATGATGATTAGGATTCAGTTCTTGTCAATTACATTCCAAATTAGAATTTTAAGGATATAATGAAAATACGCTACGCACAAAAATACATTTTAGGATAAAAAATGAGTTGATTTATATGTTTTAAAACTTCTGAAATTCATTTAATAAACATCATATCCTCATTGTTAATTGAATCCAGAATGTTGGGTGTCGTTTATATAATTATTCTTGTCCACAGAATCTGCTGACTTATCCAGCCATTAAGTAGCTGCAGATCATTTCTATATAACCATTGAACTTCCATTAATTCAGTCTCTAGAGGGTTGTATGTTTATATCATAATTTGACTTTTATAAAAATGATTATTCTAAATCTTATGTTTCTATAAAATACACTGTGCTTTAAAAATATGGATGATAGTATCAGCCGCTCTTTCAGCCACTTCATAAGCAACAGTTTGTTTAGAAATAAATTATGCAGTTAATGTCATAAAATACAAATAAATATCAAACGAAAATTCTCAGTTTTAGACAATGCGACTTAAACGAAGTAAAGTAGCAGACGATAAAAAGCCGAAGGTAAAAATTTACTCTTATTTAAAAAAAAAAAAAAAAAAAAAAAGATAGAGAGAAATTTTTTTTAAAAAAAGTTAAAAATTTGAATATCATCATCTATAATTTTAAAAAAATAGCTTTTCATATAGTATTAATAAATATTTATTATGCATCATTGATGGAAAAAATGTCATATAATTAATTCTTCATAAAATTTTAATTGAAATTTAAGGTTAAAAATAGCTGTGGCAATTCACTGTAACAAAAATCCATAGACCACATTTGGCGTTATTATCACTCAAAAAAAACATGCCAAATTTCAAAACACGAAAACATGTAAATTCGTGTATATCTTAGAAAATTTTGAATAAAAAAGTTTAATTTTTTTGCAGATATGCTTAAAAATACACCTACTTTAAGTGATGGTAAAAATTTTATAGGTTATAATTCAAAATTTTTTTCGAAAAATTTATAAAAATTATTTAAAAATAGAAATTTAAAAAATAAAACACAAAAAATGGGTAAATTTTATTTGGAATGAACCTAAATTTCGAAATGTGAGAGAAAAAATCAAAAACAATTAATAAAAAAGAGATACTGATAAATATTTGCCAAATTCAATTAACATTGAGGAGCTAAAATTTTGAGAGCTAATATTTTAAAAACTACTCGTATGATTTTTACAAAACTTGGTATTCTGGCATAATTTGAGTCGTAGAATCGAAATATGGAAAAATATTGGTATGTTATTTCAGAAAAAGTCCGTTTTTGTGTCAAAATACCTATGTCAGAATAGTGCTATATATAATCTAATATATATCCTAAGTCGCAATTTCGAGACATGAAAAATGCAGTTTGAATTTTGTCAATCGGCCCAGTAGAACGGGAGATATAGCACTGTCCTTTTTTTTTTTTTTTTTTTTTTTTGAGCAGTGTACATACAGATCACTCAAAATACCTTCATTTTGTCGATTGCGATTGATTTCATTTTGCTACGATTTTGTAACCTGTACCTATTGTATTCAAATGTCAAATGTTCCAGAAATTCCTTGCCACACATAAACATTTCCAGTGGTGTTTTGGCTTGATAAGCAGTACATTTGAGTTTCAATTCACTCTTTTCGGTAGATCTTTACTTATCCACTCCACAATTTTCTCAAACTGACATTTAAAATAAAATGTCTAAAATTACTAACTATGAATAAAAATGATAGTATAAGAAAATGTAAGCAATATTATATAATTTTTACTATGAGAAATTGTACTAACTTGGAAACAGAAGTAGCAGCCATTTTCCAAATAGCAATGCTTTACTTAGTTCGACAGTTGAAAGATCTAATAATATAGAATGAATAAACACAGCAATGGAATCTGTTAAGGCATTTACAGAAGAATAAACAAATTTTAACTTTTGTCTACTAGAGTGGATATGCAACAAAGGGTTAATGGCAATTTAGGAAGGAGTGTTGTTCTAACAGCTGGTTGCTCCAAAGTGCTAGACATCAAATAATCCTCTAGGTTACAAAGAATTGCAATACTTTTCAAAGAAAAAGTTACAAATTACAATGAGGTTGTGCATTTAGAAATTAAACACTGAATTAAAATGTTATTTCAAAATTAATTCCAGCTATAAGAAAAATCCACAGGAAAAGAGAAGCAACTTTATTTATACAATATACAACTTTAATTAAAATCATGTCATTAGCATGTAAACATACTGGTTTTGTACAATAGTCGGAGCATATTAAAATGAAAAATTTAGGTCAAATATCACAATAAATTCAAAATGCAGTTGTTTTATCTATTGAGTTGGCTGTTCAATTGGCACAATAGTGACACTATCATTTCCTGCAGGGTTTGTGGTTTGCAGTATTCTTCAAGCCAGCTAAAGACACAAGCAGACAATTCTCCAAAATTTGCAACAGATATAGATGAATTAAATGATTGAAACAAGGAATCACATATTGCTTGAAACTGAAAGATATAAAAACTACATATGCATCTAACATATCAGTACTAAAAAAAATTTTGAACATATGCAATAAGTATTTAATAACAATGGTTTAACTACCGTTTCCTTTTGATAGTATGGCTTGGCTGTCAACTTTACGAAAATAAAGTAGACTTTAAGAAACTTTAAGAAAAGATTTGAAGTAAAAAAGAAATAAATATAAAGGAAAAAAATCTGAAAGGTTTCAGATTTTAAATTACCTCCAAAGGGGGTGTTTTTTTAATGTTTTGTGCGTTACATTTATTTATTAAATATCATGTTCTTTGCACATAAACCATAAAATTCAGTTCAACAGCAATGTCACAAAATAATTTTTAAATAAGCATATCTTTAGAATTTCCGATAAACAGTTCCACGCGCTGGAGATAAAAAGGGCCAGTAGAGTGTTGCCATTGCTCGCTTTTAAATCATTCAGTTCGTTACTCAAAAATTCGTTAAAAGTTTTACAAAATATAAAATCTATAATAAAACAAATCCCAAATTTCAAATTTGGTTTTTCACATGCCCGTATTCGTAGGAGGATTACATCGTTCAAAATTCGATGGCTCTATGTACCGTTGTTTTATCACAATGTGAGACATACACATACATTTATGTAGATTTTTCATTATTTAATTTCTTCAAATATAGTTCAGGACTCTAACATTTAGTGGCAACAGTTTGAAAAGTGAAACAGACATTCAGAGTAATTCAATGCAAAATCGCAAAACGAAAACAATAGTCCTTCAGAGACAAAGCCCCTTTCGACTAAAAAAAAAATAATAAAGATAAATAATATATAATTAAAAATAAAAAAGACTAAGATGTAGATGCTTGCGGCAACGTGACTTCAAAAGAATACCAAATTGACAAGTCACATTATAATGCATAATTCATATTATTAAACTTAATTATAATTCTCAGGTAAACTATATTACTATGTAATTTATAAATTTAAATTTTACTTCATGTTTGGCCAATTCCATTTCACAGAGATTTTCTTAAAATTTTACCCTGACGATAACCGAACTAGAAACTTTTACTTATCAATAGTTCTTTCTAACCTCATAAAAATAGTCCATAATGTGTACATAATCACATGGATAGACAGTACTGTACCAGTTGAAGACTTAAGCAAAATTAAATACTAATATTTACCTACTAAGCCTTAGTTAACCCTTTCGCGGTCCTCTTCTCTCTGCAAAAATTTCTCCCCAGAGGCCCTTTGTTTTTCGCAGCGTGTAATGTTGTTTTCTCTGCACATATATAACTTTCTATACATAACTTTCGTAGTGGATGAATTTAAATGAATATTAAGTAAAGTTATAAGGAAATAAAGCATAATGGAAAAGTAACAATATCTCTGCTTATTTCTAACAGCAAGATTAATTTGATAACATCTGATCCAGGCAGTCCACTCCTCCCATTTTGTTGTTGTAATCTTCCATTTTTTACTCAAATGCACTAGACACGTTACGGATGACAAAGAGGTTAAGTCAGCAGAAAATGCATTACAAATCTCTACAATGGATTAGGTCAAATAAAAATTAGAAAATTTACTCCAAAATTCCTTTGAGGGAAAAAAATGGAATTTGCAAATTTAGGTTCGGTACCAGATGATGATGAGACAAAATCTTTTGCCTTTTTTAAGAACTTATCAAAGATGTTTCAATGTTTCCTTTTCTTTCAATATTTAGAGATCAACAATTCTTCAGAAAGTGCATTTGAAAGAGATCCCCTAAACTGACATAAATTAAAAACTGGGATATTTGAAGGTTTACCACAGACTGAAAAATAAGATGAAAATCTAGGAGTCTTCCAGTAAATCTTGGAGATTTGGCAGCTTTGTAAAAGTGCACTGAAAAATCATTTTCTACATGACAGAAATTGTTTTAGTATATTACTGTAATATGAAATATATTTATTCTAATGCAAAACAGATTTAAAAAAGACTGATTTATTATCATTGATGGACATGACAAGGCAAGATCCATCAATGATGAATCATCAGGGAGTTGTATTCCATTATGATAATACAATACAGTACAAAGTCCAAGACCTGGACTCGTCCATACAAAGTGGATTCTGGATTTGGGAGTTTTCCGAATATTAGATCATCAATTTAAATCTAGTTAGATGGCATGCAGAAATTATAAAATTAAAATTCCAAATCATGATTTATGAAATAATGAGTATTTGTGATCTAAAGGGCCTCACAATTTTACCCCCCCCCAAAAAAAAAGCTTAATATTTATTTGTTTATTTTATTATACATTTATTTCAATGTAAGCTGTTTCAGTTGCTTCGTTTCTTGTGCTAATACTTTTTCTTTAATTCTATAAAAAAAATAAAAAATAATAATTAAAAAAAAAAAAAAAAAACATAATTTCTTGTTAAAAGTTTCACTGTTCAAGTCCTGTAATTGCTGTGTCGAGAATTCCGACTAACTTGTCAATTGCACTTTTTTCGTTTTCAATAACCTCTCTGTCCCTTTCTTCATTATCGGTAGTGTTATTTTCTACATCTAGAACCATACCACAGATTTCGCCATCTGTTAATTGATTGATGATTGGGGCATTGTTATTGCAATGAAAAACTGCTGTTATATCATCTCTATTTATAACCGCTTCTCCACATTTCTTTACAAAATCCATTAATTGGAGAATTTTACCTTTGCGATATCCGAAATCCTTCAGATTTGCGGCTATCATCTTCCTCATCCTCACCACGAAATATGGTACCTGGCCAACGGCAAGTATTTTTTAAAGTATCTGGAGACACGTCCTCCCACGACCTTGCGATGCTCCAGAAAACAGATTTTATGTTAAAATATTTCAAAAATTCTTCAATAGTCTTGCCATTGTTCATGAAATTTAACATGGATTCTAAAAATGCTACTTTATATTTGCCTTTCAGCATGCACACTATTCTGATATCCATAGGTTGAATGATCCTCCTGCTAAAAGGCGTAGACAGTTCCTCTTCAGTTCCAGCTCCTGCTCTGTGAAGGGCGAACATTTCAAACTTCTAAAATTGCTAGTCCTCACGGACTATGCCAAATTGTTATCTTCTACTCAAGTTCAATTGAAAAGTGGCCTTCTTTGTCCTGTTATCAATCTGTTGGTTAAAAAGCATGTCATGCCGCAAAATTAATTTCTGCCTTGGATATTCCCTCACGTGTTCACAAACTTTAGTACATTCTGATTTAGCGCTGTATGCCAATGAGCCTCTTAATCTCTAAAATCTTTCCTCTCCACTTTTTGCTTTTGTGTTTCATTTATGTTATACAAAATATAAACTACCCAAAAAAATTATAAAAATTACAAAATTAAAAAAAAAAAAAAATCTGAAAGCTTTCAGATTTTAAATTAACTCCAAAAGGGCATTTTTTTAACGTTTTGTGTGTTACCTTTATTTATTAAATAGCATGTTCTTTGGACTTAAACCATAGAATTCAGTTCAATAGCAATGTTGCAAAATAATTTTTAAATGAGCCCTTCTTTAGAATTTCCGATACACAGTGCCGCGCGCTGGAGATAAAAAGACCCCACCCCATAGAGTGTTGCCATTGCTCACTTTGAAATCCTTGAGCTTGTTAATCAATAATTCATTAAAGTTTTACAAAATATGAAATCGATAATAAAATAAATTCTTAATTTCAAATTTGGTCTTCCACATGTTCATATTCATAGGAGGATTACGTCATTCAAAATTCAATTGCTCTATGTACCGTTGTTTTATCACAATGCGAGAGAGAAATAGACATATTATTTATTGCAGATTTTTCATTATTTAATTTTTTCAAATATAATGCAGGACTCTAACATTTGGTGGCAACCGTTTGAAAAGTGAAACGGACATTTATAGTGATTCAAAGCAAAATCGCAAAACGAAAACAATAGTCCTTCAGGAACAAAGCCCCTTTGGACTAAAACTTATAAAAAAACCACTAAAAATTACAAAAAAAAAAAAAAAAACTTTTGACTTCATATTTTTTTCCTATACCTAAATTCTCTCGAGCTCATGTGGCTCCCCCTAGCTTGCATCAAACTATTTACGCAATTTTCCTATTACTGGCATCACCAAGATATTTTTATCATATGGAGGTACACGTTCTAGAACCATAGGCACTCCGAAAGACTTAATCATTGGCAGGATTAATTATGGACGTATAATTCAGAGGAAACGATAATACGGATAATGTAGAAATCAAACAACAAAAATCAGCATTATATTTTGAAATTTTCACAGGACTACTTACGATGGTTTTACCAATACGGATACATTATTTTTCACTAATCAGGTTTGCCTCATCAGGTAAACCAAACGAATTCAAATGTTGCTGAGCTTAGGGTATAAAATGATTTTCAAACCAATCATTCATTAATGCTTGCGTCATCCAGACTCTTTTATTTGCACGATGTATAATGGGAAAAATCTTTACTCCTTTAAATACTCGAGATTGTGTATACAGTCAAAAGTCGTTAATCCGGACTCCTCGGGACTTCGGCGATTCAAAATTTTAAAAAAGTTGAAAAAAATTAAAATTGGTTATTTATAAAACCAGCAAATCCAAAGCTGTATTACAAGAATGATGATTGTGCAAGAGTAGCTCTGCAAAAATTCAGGACACTGAAGGGTATAAAAGAAGGCGTTGGTCCAATGAGTGTCGTAGGTCTAAAGAAAATGATGCAAAAATTCGAAACGACAGGTTCGTTTGATGTGCAATCTGGTAGAGGGAGAAAACGAGTGCATTCGACGGTAGTTGAAGAAGTGGCCACAGCATTACAGGAGGGGTCGGCCGGTGGTGTGCAACCGTGCAGTGCACGAGGAATTGCCCGAACATTGGACAGGCCTACGAGCACGGTGCTGAAAATTGTACGAAACATCCTGCAATGCTATCCGTACAAAATTGGCCATGTGCAGGAGTTGCTTCCGTCTGACCTGACAGCTAGGGAGACGTTTGCGTTAGAATTCCTGGCTC